TAAAACACATAATGTTTTTAAAAGCTGGATTCAATTCTTGATCATTTTCAGCAGGTAAAGATTATTTAGTATAATCATATGATAAATAAGAATTGCATGTTTCTAGATGTGTGGCCCTTTGCCGTTTGTTGTTTATGATAAGGAGTACATTTGACATGTTGTTTCACTGTGGGCATATTTTCACCTTCCATAGGACCTCCTCAAAGGATTGGGGACAGTTAAGGATTCCCTTTTTGTTCTCCATGAGCTGGGAGAACAACTCAAGCAGCAAGTGGATGCTTCGGCTGCATCGGCCATTCAATCTGATCAACTCTCTTTGAGTCAACACTTATGTGCCCTAGAGCAGGCTCTTTGCAAACAGCAGACTATGTTACAGGTACAGAGCTCATGTTCTCTATGTGGTACAAATTGAGTGTTCTATAATGTCTGGGCATAAACACAGGAAAAGAATTTTTCATCTTGGAGGCAATGCCTCCATTAAGAGAAGAATTAAAAAATAAACAATCTTGTAAGTTTCACTGGGGACAAAGGAAGGTGGGAATTTTACATTGTTCTCTACAAAGTAATTATAAAATTAGTTGAGGAGGCAAGCTCCTAATTACTATTCATGTTTATATGACGGGCTTTTCCAAGAATCGCAACATTTTTTCAGAATGTTGTTTAATAATGTATTTAAAAAATAACTTTAATAGGTTATGACTAATGGTACATAGAGAAATAATTCTACTCTTTAGAACAATTACATCAAAAGAAGAAAACTTAAATAATTATAGCCTTGTTGCTTTAGGAATGGCATCTTGAGAATGCCAATTTGATACAAGAATATGAAAAATAATTTCAATATCTACTTGCCCTCTGGCTAGATTTCATTAAAATACCAATATGTTTAACTAAAATACCAATTTCTTTCGTGAAAACAAGGCTGGAGTTCTTGATTATGAAACCTTTGCTAAGAGTTTAGAAGCTTTGGAGGCCTGGATAGTGGAAGCTGAAGACCTCCTGCAAGGACAGGACCCCAGCCACTCGTCTGACCTCTCCACCATCCAGGAAAGGATGGAGGAACTGAAGGCAAGTGTGTTCGGATCTGATTCCCAGATCTTTTATTTTCTGTCCTCAGAATCTTAAGGAAAACCCAAAACTGACATAGACCTACTCTTAATTCTGAGCTCCCTGTGAGACGCTCATGGGTTCTGCCTTCTTGCTGTCCTCGAGGGGTGAACTCTGTTGGCAACGGGCATGGCCTGATTTCCCAGCCCGTAACGGGAGCCGGCCAGGACCAGTCCTAGGAAACCTCCTCACTCCTTCCCACCTCGAGTCCCTCCCCGTCCCAGTCCACCACCTCCTTAATAGCTTGTGAGTCTCACATCTCCACTCTAACATCCTCCACTCCTACTTCAGCTACCCCCATCTCTCTGGGGCCATGGCGGTGGCCTCACACAGGTCGACATCCACCCCCCCATCCAGTCTCCAGTCCCCCTGGCTGCCAGAATGATCTTCATTTAGAAAAAAGGATTTTAGGCAATTACTTTGATTTAATCATTCCATATTGTGTGTGTGTGTGTGTGTGTGTGTGTGTGTATCGAAACATCACATTGTACCCCGAAATGTACCCCAAATCATGATTTGTCGATCAAAAATAATATTAATAATTGTTTTAAAAATGGTTTTACTTAATTATGAACAATTTTAAGTATTCAGTCAAGTAAATAAAATAGTATAATAGACATGCAAAGTTTATCATATAATTCCTCTGGTTAAAACCCTCGGTGGGTCCGCACTGCTCTTAGGGTAAAGACCATGTGCTTATCAGGGCCAGCATAACTGGCTGCCACCTGTCCTGAGTGTCTTATCCTGCACCACTGCCCACCTTCCCTCCAGCCACTCGGGAGCCACGGTGCTTCCCAGTGTCTGTGTGTGTGATGTTTCCCCTTCCTGGATTCTTTCCTTGTCCCCACCAACATCCTCCCCACCAAAAAGAGTAAAGTCCTGGTCATTTTCTTCAATGTCACTCTCTTAGGAAAGCCTTCACTGCCCATCCAGGGCTAGGCTCCCAGCGGCACGCTTTCATAATGCACACGTCTTTTTCTTCCATGCTCTGTCATGTAATGTAATTACTTTCATGTGAGTAGGGGAATAATAACTTGGGCCCCCCACGCAATAGTGTCTTACTCCCTCTAAGTGCCATGAGGGGCAGGACTGTGTCATGTCAGTTTTGTTCAGTGCTGATGTATACCCATGGAAATTCTGTCATTTAATAGTTATGCTTTGGCTTTAATACTCGGGAATATTTGTTCTTTCTTCAGGAATCATGAATCTTTTGCAGATCATGCAAAGAGAAAACACACACATGGCCAAAGATGTCCTGACATTTTCTCCTTTCTGTAACCATTTTCCTAGATGGAGATAAGAATGCCCATGGGGCCGAGTGCAGTGGATTAAGGAGGATCGCTTAAGGCCAGGAGCTTGAAACCAGCCTGGGCAACATAGCAAGACCCTATCTCTAAATAAGAAAAATGAGCTGGGTGTGGTGGCACATGCCTGTAGTCCCAGCTACTCGGGAGGCTGAGGCGGGAGGATGGCTTGAGCCCAGGAGTTTGAGGTTGCTGTGAGCTATGATGATGCCACTGCACTCTACCCTGGGTGACACAGCAAAGCCCTGTCATAAAAAAAAAAAAACAACAAAGCAGAAAAAAGAAATGCCGGTGGAAGACCAGGACAGGCAGCTTTGTCCTGTGTTTGAAGAGAGGCAAGAGGTCTGAAAGCAAAAAACAGCCTTTTTGTTGATTCTTACCAACTTTGAGGTTGGGGTCGTAGGGCAATGTGTGGTCATTGCATAGCTCAAGTGAGGCTGCATTCTCTTTAGCAAGACCCCAACACCTTTTGTTTACCCAGCTCTACCACTTACTAGCTGGGTGGCCTTGAGCAATTTTCTTAGTTTCTGTGCCTCTCTTTCTTCATTTGTGAAGAGGGAATGGCAGTGGTACTTAACCTCATGGGAATTGTTTTGAGGATGAAATGAGTTATTACTCAAAGCTTTTAATAACAATTCATAGTAAGTGCTCAATTAATGTTAGCTATCACTGTTACAACTATTATTATTATTGAATAATAAAGGATCAGATTAGCATGAATAAATTAAATACAAAGGGTAAGAAAAAAGCCTTTCTGCTCATCAGCATAATTTTCATCCTTTGTCAGTTCTGTCAAGAATTACCTATGAGTAAATAAATCATGTAAATAAGGTAATACACGTAACCTACTAAGTATTCAATAAAGGGTAATGAGTAGCTGCAGTAGCAATAGCAGCCACAACAGTTCAATCTGAATAGGAGATTCAGCTTTTTTCTATCTGCACCTCTGGAGATTGCAAGTAACTTTCCAGAAACGCATAGCAGACCAAAGACCAGCTTCTTCCTGAAATCAGAAGTTCACCGTGCACTTTGGAAAAACTCTGCCTTTTTTGACCGTGGTGGTAAACTTGCTTTTAAATCTTGCTTTTAGGGACAGATGTTAAAATTCAGCAGCATGGCTCCGGATTTAGACCGTCTAAATGAGCTTGGCTATAGGTTACCTCTGAATGATAAGGAAATCAAAAGGATGCAGAATCTGAACCGTCATTGGTCCCTGATCTCCTCTCAGACTACAGAAAGATTCAGGTAGAGTAAACAAGAGATGTTCCGGTCACTCCAATTGTCTTGGTCCGTTTTGTGCTGCTATAACAAAATGCCACAGACTGGGTAATTTATAAAGAATAGATATTGATTTTCCCACAGTTCTGGAGGCTAAGAAGTCCGAGATAGAGGTGCTAGCAGGTTCAGTTGTTTGGTAGGGGCTGCTTTCTGCTCTCAAAGTGGCCCCTTCTTGCCCGTATCCTTAGGAGGAGAGTGACGCAATGTCCTCACACAGAGGAGGAAGGTGGAAGGGCAAGAGTGCTGAACACCGCGTGAATCCTCTTTTATAAGGGCCCTGATCCCATTCACGAGGCAGGAGCCCTCATGGCCTAATCACCTCTTAAAGGCCCCACCCACCTCATAATACTATCACATTGGCCATTGAGTTTCAACACCTGAATTTTGGAGGGGACACATTCAAACCATAGCACCAGTGTATTAATAGGATATAAGTTCATGATTTGTGTTTATGTATAAATTTTAGTCTTTCCAATAATACTGACAAAATTTGCACTAAAAGTAGGAAATTTAAATTGCAAAGTTGTTTTCCATGTTTGATGTACTAAATAGTCTTTAATAAGAAAACTCTTTTAAGTAAGAATATATTAAAGGTACATGCATAATTTTGATCATTTTGAAAAATGTAACATTTTAAACTTCCACTTTTTTAAAAAATTTCTTCTTCTTTTTTTATTTTTTTGTTAATTTTACCTCCTAACATGAAAGCTTTGTGATGGTCTAATTAGAATTGGAGGCAGAGATTATTTGATCAAGTTTTATATGCTAGAAATATTAAAATAAGGAGACAAGTAATCATTATTCCTTGTCCTTCATTCTGTCAGTAAGTTGCAGTCATTTTTGCTGCAACATCAGACTTTCCTGGAAAAATGTGAAACATGGATGGAATTCCTGGTTCAAACGGAACAAAAGTTAGCAGTAGAGATTTCAGGCAATTATCAGCATCTTTTGGAACAGCAGAGAGCACATGAGGTAGGTTATGCCAGTATATTTTTAGATAATAAAAAAGTTAGACCCTTGAAAGATGCTACAAAATGCCATGTGGGGGAATTAAAATCCTGTACCTTGTACTGAGTCTGTTCAAATGCTTGTGTCACTTTTGCCTTCTTTTTTAAGGTTGGGGTTTTGATATCTTAGTTACAAAAATGTCGGCCATTTCTCTGCACCGTAGATGGTTATAAGCCTGTATCAGGCTTCAGTACCTTGCAATGTATAATGCCAGAATTGTGGCTAAAGACTACTTGCTGGGGGCTGGGTGGGGTTGGTGGGAAGAGTGCAGGTAGTTAGACAATTTGCAAATTGGGTTAGAGACTACAGCATTAATATTGCCAAGGCTAATTGCTTAAGGGACTACACTTGGATCAAAAGTCTTTAAAAAGTGTGTGTTCTTTAAAAAACATATATGAATTTTATAAAAGGAAATTAAGCTATCAGTGATCTCTCCAAGTGTACCTCTTGATCAAACTGCATTATAATTATTTCTCAAGAAACGCAGAGAGAGAACTATTAATATATGCAAAAAGCAAATTAATTAATTTGCTAACAATTTGTCCCCAATTTGCTATTTACTGGTATAACTAAGTTGTTTTGTGTGTTTATGCACATGGAGAGATGGGACTTACCTAAGGGCAGAGAAAAGCTTAATTCATAGCTTAAAAGAAAATGAAACTAATTTTAAAGCATTTTGCTGAAATTTTAAAAATAGAGAATTTAAAGATGTATAAGGTATTTTTAAATTCAGTTTTATTGAGTTGACAGATGGTGAAATAAAAGACAATGGAATAAAACTACAATGAGATAGATACTATTTCATAACCACTACGATGGCTACAATGAGAAAGATAACAGTGTTGGTGAGGGTGTAGAGAAATCGGAACCCTCTTGCATTGCTGATGGGAATGTAAAATGGTGAAGCTGCTTTGGAAAACAGTTTGGCAGTTCCTCAAAATGTTAAACATAGAGTCACTACATAACCCAGTAATTCCACTCCTAAGTATATACCCAAGATAAATGAAAATACGTGTCCACACAAAAACTTGTACAAGTACGTTGTTCATAGTGGCAGTATTCACAACAGCCAAAAAGTGGAAACCACCCATCAGTCCATCAATTGATGAATGGTTAAATACAATGTGAGATATTCATATAATAGAATACTACTCAGCAATAAAAAGAAATAAGGTCCTGATACATGGTGCAACTTGGATGAACCTTGAAAACAGATGCTAAGGGAAAGAAACCAGTCACAAAAGACCACATGTTGCATAATTCCGTTTATATGAAATGTCCAGAATAGGCAATCCTTAGAGATATGAAATAGATTAATGGTTGCTTAAGACTGGAGGATTGGGAGAAAATAGGGAATTATTGCTAATGATGTGGAGTTTCTTCTTGGGGTGATGAAAATGTTCTAAAATTGATTGTGGTAATGGTTGTACAAGTCTTTAAATATAATAAAAGTCATTAAATTGGGCATTTTAATGAGTGAATTATGTGGTATGTGAATTATATCTCAATAAAGCTATTTAAAAAACAGTGGAAATAATTTGAAAGACCTTCTGTTGAAAAACAGTGAGTTCAAAAAGACCAGAAAAAGAAGGGGCTTTTTTTCCTTCAACTTTTTCAAAGGTCCTAAGCTATTCTCTGTCTGAAAATAGCCCACATTTTGCACACAGAATAAACCAGAAAACAAATTGCGCATTAACTTACTGTATTAGGTGCTTTTGAAAGAATGAAGGGAAACATAATTCTACTTTTAGTCATTTAGTTTTAGTAAACCAAAAACTAAACTTTAAGCATATCTGAATTGATGATTTAAAAATAAATCATTCCTGCACTACAGGATTTCACACATTTCCTGATTCAGCTGGAGATACTTTTCATAGTCTTGCTAAACCCAGAATATTTAGAAAGTTATCAGAGAAGTGGTCACTAAAATTAGGAACTCTAAAGTATGCTCTTCTTTAAATTATAGTTGTTTCAAGCCGAGATGTTCAGTCGCCAGCAGATTTTGCACTCAATCATTATTGATGGGCAACGTCTTCTAGAACAAGGTCAAGTTGACGACAGGTAGGATCTTTGGTAAATTATTATGAAGACAGTTTCCACAAATTAGTCATTTTCTTTTTAATGAGCAGATTAGAGGGCATATATCCAATCTTCCTAAGGCAATTTTATGATAGTGGAGCCTCAGTAATAGGAAGAGAGTCTTGTCTGAATCTCTGAAATTACCGAGTATTGTATCTTTTTAGAGAACGGCTGTTATATTATATGAAGGACATAGAGTAATTGGAAATCTCCTAGCCAACCTTAGCTAGTCATCTGTAAGGACTGGAACTAATGAATAGATCAGAATGAATTGTATCAGTGATGTAGCACTGGTTTGTAAACAGATGCTTCTAATATTCTTATACAATTACAAAAATGTTATTTGTCAAAGGAGCATAGAGATCACTAGTCCATCTCTCTTAGTTACAGATGAAAAAACCTGAGACCCACAAATGTGAACTTCTTTGTCCAAGGTTCTGGTTTTCAGTCAGTACTGGCTTATATTGGGCAGCTTTTTCATACCATGATAATTCGTATGAAAATGGTTTGCTGCCTTAAATCAGATTATATTCAACCTAGAATACTTCTTCCTTTTCATTTATGTAACAAATTATCTCTTTATTAAAAATGCAGAGGTAAGAATCTAGCTTGTGAATTGACAATTTTATATTATATTTACATGTCTTAGGAACAATATTTATTTTATCCCTTCTACTTTTCATGGTGATATTTGGAGTGTGAGCTTCCATTTGTTTTATTACATTTGTACATCTCTCCCATATTTAGGACCAGTAGTTGTGATTATACTTGTTAGTATTTTTTCAAAAAATTAAAAAATAAATCATTTTTATTGAGAGTTTTGTTTTTAATGTTTTAGAACCCATTTCAGGTTTAAGTGGATATTTCTTTGGAAGTACATGAAAGATTTTCATGGTTAACCTTGGAACAACAAAATGTGTTGTCATATTTATTCTATTCTAAGTAAGCCAAACTTGAATGTGAACTTTCTTGAGAATAAAACAAATTCAAATGCAACTGACTTTTATCTTTTGCTTTGTCATCTCTTAGCCAACTCTATAACAATATTATAAACGTTCAAGTCATTAGGTAAAATAAAATTTAATATTCGCATGCAAGCCAACATCTATTAAATTTTAAATGATAACATTTAGGAAAAAAACACCAACAAGATGAAAATGGGAAGCTGGACCTAAGGATAAAAAATTTTGAAAGTTACAAGTGAAAAAATCAGATTAGAACCTGCTGACAATAGGAAGGCCCCAGCTTAGAAATCTGTTGTGTTCTAAATGTTAATTGATGAGTTTTGTTTTTTTAGAGCATCATGTTGAGCACTGGGAACAATGTCACGTTTTAAGTCGTTCCTCATGCTGGCAGGTAGTTCAGGACAGCTTGGTTGTGCAGAGTGAGGGTGAGGGCTCCGAAGAGGTCTCGGATGGTTACCTGGTAGGCAAAGCAACGTGCAAGGGCCTTTTCATGTTATAGAATATTCTCAAGTCCTGAAGTTACACGTTTTCTGAGTTGACAGATAATTACAACTTCTGGGGAAGTATCATGAACCTAATTCATCCCATTTGAATTCTACTGCGATTGATTATTCATATATACATATAGATAGATAGATCAGAATTTCCTTTCAAAACTGAAAGTCATCATCAAAGCCTAGCTAGTTATCATATGGATCTGTTTTTAAAATGAGAGAGCATAAGAAAATTTTTGCTGGGGCTTTATTTGATACTTTTTGTTTTTAATGCTGGCTTTGTTGAGTGTGACTATGTATTATTCATCTTTTGTTTAAGTTGAATTATTAAATAAGTTTTGGGACTAATAGCACATTTGGTTATAAAATCAAAATTGATACTGGCTCTAGATACTAGGAGGCAGTCAAGAATATTCTACAACAGTAAGTCCCATTCAGATTTGGTGCCACCCTCAAGAGAAGAGAATAGGATGTCTGAGGAAGAAAAGCAAAATGAATGTCATAGACAAAACACAAGTAATGTTACACTTTAATACGAAAACGTGAATGACACTGTAATCAACAAAGAAACTCATTCTATTTGATGCTGGACAAACCCTTACTAACCAGTTCTGGAGCCACAAGTTGAGTATTAAATAAAACTTAATAAAGGACTACCAATATTTTTTAAAGGTAGAAAACACAGAGGTAGGAAAGACACATTAGAAGATCTGAGACTCTTTAGTCTACAACTGAGAAAGCTTAAGTAACATTTAATATTTCTAAATATGTGAATGGCATTTAAACAGACCGTGATGACTAGTTTTCATTTTTCTAATAACAAAGTGAAGGCAGCCTAAAATGTAAAAGGGACGATTTAGATTAACGTGTGGAATAACTTGCTAAAGATTAGGGCTGTGTATTGTGAGGGAATACTGAGAGAGTTTATGAAGTGCAGTTTTTAAAAATCTTTTTAAACTACATAGTTCGATTGAAGTGGCTTATGATTCTAGCTAAGGTAACACGGTTTTGTCCAGCCAAAGTGGCATATGATTTTAGCTGAAGACAGGGGTTCTACATAAGCTTTGCTCCACGTACTTACCTGCAGGGGGCCCACAAGACCTTGTCATGTGCTGCACATGTTACAATCAGGTGCTCAGGGTTTGGAGCTATTCCCAGTGCACCTGTGGCTTTCTATTCCTCCTCTCCCATGCTTCAGGGAGGGAGTAAATGACAATGACCTGATTGTAAATTTTTCTTCAACCTGTACTGAGACATAATAACTCTCACCATTTGCAAACACTAGTAGTTTAATTTTTAAAGTTACTTGCAATAGACCCAATAATAGATCACATCATGATATCCGAAAACCTCTGCCTTGGGTCACTTCTCAGAGATTAAGGTCGTGCAAAGTGTACACATTGGCTGATTATGTAACTGCATCCAAGATATCGGTGTTTTTCACCATGTAATGATTTCTTTGCCAGGGATGAGTTCAACCTGAAACTGACGCTCCTCAGTAATCAGTGGCAGGGAGTGATTCGCAGGGCCCAGCAGAGGCGGGGCATCATCGACAGCCAGATTCGCCAGTGGCAACGCTACAGGGAGATGGCAGAAAAGCTTCGTAAATGGCTGGTTGAAGTGTCCTACCTCCCCGTGAGTGGTCTCGGAAGCGTCCCTATACCACTGCAACAAGCAAGGACCCTCTTTGATGAAGTGCAGGTAAAGTGCAAACACACTGTTCTGAAACCTCTTATGCATTTCCACTGCACACTTTACCTTAGCCTTGGCTCCTCAGAAGGACTCTGGAGTGACATTGGAATTGGGACAAACATTGTTCTCAAATGTCAACAGGCATATACTGAATGATTGTGTTGCAAAGCCCTCATTTGCTGATGAAATGACAATGAGCCTCCACACAGCAAGGCCTGCAGCCGCTCACTGAGTCCTAGCACGGATGGAAAGCCAACGGCGAGGAAAGGAAAACTTTGTGTTGATTATGTATATTTTACTCATAAGCAATGTAAACATGTAACTTAAGTACCAGAGAAGGTAAAAGGCCCTGTCCTGTTTGAGCGCTGTCCCTTCCCAGGGAGCCCTTTACTTTGACCAGCATCCTAGACAGTCCTTTTCAGTGTGTCTTACGGGCTCCTCTTCTTTTAAAGACACTGTTCTCTGGTTCCTTTCTCCTCCAGATTTCTCTGAGAGACCTCATCCACAGACATGGCTTCAGCTACCTGCTACCAGCAGACAAGGGGCAAATTTGCATCTTCTGGTCACATTCACCTGCTGAGCTTTTAACTCATGTATCCAACCAACATTTGGATTTGTATCTGTGTGCTCCGCAGATGTAATGTACCTATGGGTCTCAACAGAGCCTGTGATCTCTGGACCAACCATTCTCTCTTTCCCATGCACCCAATTTGGGGAAGCATCATCACCGGTCTATCAGTGTAGGAATCCTAGAGTCATTTAGGAGCCATTCTCTTCCTTGTCTCTCACCTCTGCCATATCTAATCTGCCCCAAGCTTCCCTTCCTGCTGCCACTGCCTTGGCTGGGTGCTCACGATGTGTTCCCTAAATGGACCATAGCTTCCTGACCTGTCTTAGTATGTGTCTTTCTTCCATTCTACCTTCACTCTGATGCCGCGTGCTTCTATTAAAACTTTAATGCAAACACATCACTTCCCTGCTTAATATTCTTCTATGAATCTCAGTTACTTTGATTATGAAAACCAAATTCCCATGCAAGACATGGCCTTGCCTCATCTTCTGCCCCTCTCTTACATGCACTTCATACTCCAGCCACTGAAAGCTATGTCCAGCTTCCTGAAGTCATCATACTTCTTCCGTGTAGTGAATTTATGTGCCCATCCTCATTTCTCTCTGGGAAACATCCTTTCCTCCGCCGCTGATCACTCTTATCTCCCCACACCAGGTCCTTCTTAATCTGGGAGAGTTCGTATGTCTTTCAAGACTCATTCAGCCTTTACCACTTAGAAGAAGCCTCTCTGACTCTCTGCACACTCCCTGCTGCGTCCAGTGTCCCTCTGTATCCCAGCTGTCAGTCTCATAGAGGAATTTCCATATTGCATCCTGATAGTATTTAACTTGGGGCAGAAACTAAGCCTCTCCCCACTGTACTCCCATTCATTTATACATTGGTGCCTTCAGGTACAAAGTATCACCTCAGTAAATGCTTGTTGATCGAAAGAGGACATGCTATGTTTGCTAAAATTTAGGGCCACTTAAAAATACTTGTAATAGGGAAATGGTGAAGAAAATAATGAGAAAGTAAAAAAGCTGTGATTCCTTTCAGTTCAAAGAAAAAGTGTTCCTGCGACAACAAGGCAGTTATATCCTAACTGTGGAGGCCGGCAAGCAGCTCCTGCTCTCCGCGGACAGTGGAGCCGAGGCCGCCTTGCAGGTCGAACTCACTGAAATCCAAGAGAAATGGAAATCAGCCAGCATAAGTCTGGAGGAACAGAAGAAAAAACTGGCCTTCTTGTTGAAAGTAAGTTCTGCTAAGAAAAAACAACGAGAAATCTTTTAATACGTATACTGCTTTTTCCTCCCGTTGTTATCCTGAAAATCAAATAATGCCAAGATCATTAAGTAATACCTTGCAGTATTGTGATCCCCTGTGTTTTATTTAAGACTTTGTCCTATCTTGCATGAACTCGAAAAGTTTCTCAATTTTCAGCATTTCATCTTTCTGGAAAATCCTCCAACAAAGTAATTTAAAGTCTAATAAGACTGTCCAAACTATGAATTCTGATTAATGGCTAGCCTGAAGACTTAGCCATGTATGACTTTATAATTCCATACAGAAATTCAAAGAGTAGATTCTGCTCCCTAATCTAAGACTCTAAAGTGGTTTTCAAGATTGATATCTCTTCTTTTATAGCAGGGAAAAACCAACCCAAAAAGATACTCTTGATTTAGCTTAGCTTATCCAAGCCAGTTGCCTTGAGATAAAATCTCCAGGAGGTATATTAAGCCCTTCGTTGGCTACAGATTGCATACTGATCACACAATTAATCTGGAAAATGTAGATTTACCCAGACCTCCCACAATATGCTTTTATCCCTCACTCGCCGATTCCATGTATAATACATAATTAAATCAACAGTTTAAAAAGGACATGGGCTCTACATTCAGATAAACCCAAGGTAAAAACATAGTAAACCAAGTGACCTGGTTAACTCAACCTACCTAAGCCTCAATTTCCACATCTGTAGAGTGGGTATAATTTCACCTCCTCCCTGTGGCCATTGTGAGGATTTAATGAAATAATGCAGGAAAATCATGTGGTACCATATCTGGCATCTACTGAGCACTAAATAAATGATAGTAGTTATCATGGTTGAGGTTATTATCATTTTAAAAAGTGAGCACAGCTAAATGCTAAGGTCTTATGTATATTGATAATCACCAGCACTTTAATGAGATTATTAAATTTGGCCTGTTGCATGTTTGGATCAAAGGTAATAACTATTAATAAAATTAATGGAAGGGATTTGGGTTTTTTTTTCATGTTTAAAGTATGCACACCCATTGGGTTTATTCTACTGAATTTTATTTAACAATATATTACCTTGAGTGTAAGAAGCAATCAATCACAAATGCCACTGAAATAAAGAACTATTATTTTCACACAGCACAATTCATCAGTAATATAATATGCCTGATTCTTTTTTCTTCCTTCTGCTTTTAGGAAAGAATTTAAAACATTGTAATTCATTCTGTAGAGAACATGTTAATCATATATTTTTTTAAATTTGTGATGTGATTTTTGGAGATACTCCCAAGACTTAATAAGGCATGATGTCTGAGTCACTGCATTGCTTTTCTTATCTGTCTGTTTGTTGGTGTATAAAACATCCACTTTGATAGATGTTTGCAGGCCATGACATTAAGTTATTTCCTTATAATTCATGTAGTAAAAAGACTTGGTTATAGCTTCAGAATCTAAGTCATCCTTGGAAAGAAGAATCCTTATTGTTCTCTTATTAAAGTTCACTTCATTTTGAATCATATACTGCCATCCTGTTTGCCTGAGAAGGAATTTATGAATCTAAATTTTAATGTTTATCCAGCCTCAATTTAGTGTATCTTTTCACTGCAACTATAATACTTACCTATTGTTAGCTCTTCATGCTCTTAGTAAATACATCAAAATACAGCCATTATCACCCCATGCCCTGCACATTCATCTTCTGCACTATTGTCTCTTAATTTTGTTGTGAAATAAGAAGCTGGCCCTGTCTCTTTTAGATCAATAAACATTTATGGAATGCATGTTGACATATTTCACAATGCGTGATGATTTTATTAAGAATGATGTTCAATTTAAACAGAAAGAGGATCTTTTTGTCTACGCTCACTCTGCTTAGCATGGATGAACTAAGTGTAGTCTGGGGACACAAAGGTATTTTATCATGTCTGTCCATGATAGACGAAAGTTTTTTGAGTTTTTTTTCTTCTTTTTTTTTTCCTGGTACTTTGGAAGAGGGAATGTAGTCACACACTCTAGGAAGTTCCATGAAGGAATTTTAAAGAGATAAGAGCCTCCTGGGCCGAACTCTCGGTTTATTAGAAACCAAAAGACATTTTGAGTCAGGGGGTACGTAAGCCAGCACTGCTTCCATAGACGGTTGTGGTAATAGTACCTACGGGTTGTTATGCTGAAAATAAGGTGTCAGAAGAGAAGACAGAAAGGATCCAGACAAGAAAATACTGGTGATGATGAAAGAGAGATTGTGAGGAAAGATGCAAGGTGCGTTGACACCGTGCTACCTGGTAAAAGTGATCCCAGCCGTGATTCTAGTTGTCTTTCAGTGGAACTCAGTAATTCACGGTGTGGGGAATGGCCACTTGGGAGGGGCCCTGCGGAGGAGGAGAACAGGAAATGACAATAGGACACATGGATGGTATTGGACAAAAAGAATGAGACTTGTTTGGTTGAATTTAGTTTTCATCGGCACTAAGACGCTAATATGAGTTAATGTGTAGGTAAGGTACCGTGAAGAATCAATCTCTACTGTGATTCCTTTCATTTTTTTCCTTTACTTTTTTTTAATTACCAAAAAATATGTGTCTAATAAAATTCAGTAATAACTGAAGTATGTGGCGTAAAAAATGAAACTGGCCTTACACGACCATCCAAATTCTACCATCTTCTCCAGGTCACCGTTGCTACCAGTTTGGCGTGTAACCTTTCAAAACGTAACTGCAAAATGTATGTTTTTCTTTGTCAGTACACAGAGATCTGCCGCATTGTGCACAGCCACTCTGCCACCCGCCCCGCTGTGTTCTCTCCAAGAGCACTTATCACCACTTCACACAGTAGAGACACATTTCTTAAATTGTGCATTCTCTCTTCTTCCACTTTTTGATTCGTACAGATTTTCATGTATTATGCGTTTAATCCTTTGCTACATGTTTCAGTACTAACCACATAAGGCCAGTCAAACACCGTACCTTTTGTAGTGTTTCCCCTTCTGTAACAATTCAAATCTATGTGGCTGATACTATTTATATAGTAATTAAATCAGAGTCAAGGCTATATTATTTTTACATTCCATCTCTCTCCTCTTACCCAAATGTATTTTCATTCTGAACAAGATTCCATATCTTCCTTTATATCCCTTATGGTGCATTCAGGAGAGGATAACATTGAGTGCATTATGGGTAGGGTTAGGAAACAAAGTACTGGGATTACACTGCTGCCTCTACACATAGGTTGGGATTCAGATAATATTCTTGCATAGCCGTGATATTCTGGGCTTTGTGCTTGGTGCTTTGACACCCATTTCTTCCTCTGTCCTCCAACAAATATAGAGAGTTTATATTATTTCCATTTTCACAGGGAAAATTAGAGATAGAGCGTTATCTGTTTAAGCCACACAGATAGTAGGTAACAGAGTCAGTTTTGAATCCCGCTCTGATGACCACGGCGTGCTGCCTACCCTGGCAGTGGGTGTGGGCACACCCTCACACTGCTCATCGGTGTGACTTTAATCCTTTCTCAGGAAGCTAAGGAAAGTCCTTTCCTTTCCTTTTCTTTCCTTTTCTTTCTTTTTCTTTTCTTTTCTTTTCTCTTCTTCTCTTCTTTTCTCTTCTTTTCTTTCCTTTCCTTTTCCCCAATTTCTACATCAAAACAATTTATGCCATTTCTTTCTCTTCCCATGCTAGGACTGGGAAAAATGTGAGAAAGGAATAGCCGATTCTCTGGAGAAACTACGAACTTTCAAAAAGAAGCTTTCTCAGCCTCTGCCAGATCACCACGAAGAGCTCCACGCAGAACAAACACGTTGCAAGGTAAATTACTGGATTGAGATTTTCGCTGTCTTCCATCTGTGTGCCTCTGCTGGAATAATGCCTTTGAGGCCATAATCCAGTCAGACTCCTATCGCTGCCGACATGCAGATACAAGACCCTGGTGCATTGGTGCATGACATAAAGGCAGACAACTCTGGTGAAACTTGTATTGCTGATTTATTGCAATTGATGAAATTACAGACTAGCTTATGGCTTACTCTGAGGAAGCAAATGAAAATTTAAAGCACAACATTAAAAGATATTTAAAAGCTGTGTCAAGAGCAATAAAATAAATCTTTTTAAAGCATCAACACTGGGGAGTCATTCTAGCAGAGGAGTCAAGTTTACAGCAAGAAGAATAAGGATCAGCAGTCTAGAACATCTGTAGACAGTGGCCCTCGGAGGAACACACCCTACCCTCCAGACCATTCTACAAGGAAGAGGGAAAAATAGCTGATCTCAGTTATTGCACGGAGACACACAATCCTTAAATTACTCAGAGCTCTAACTACTTAAAGATTATGATTAACACCTCAAATGGTACTTGGAAGCAAATAAGTAGCTAATACAGACCACTCCCTGCATTATGAGCTCATGAAGAACAAGATTTAGTGGCTATAGGTTTCCTTCCATTCAAACCTGTGTAGCCAAGTGGAGTGCCCAAACAGCAATTCCCTGCAGAGCTAGGCCAACCATATCAAAAGTACCTTTAAAAATGCTTTTCTGTTTTACTCTGTAGTTAATGGAAAGCAAAAGGAAAAAAAAAAAACCTTTTCTTTCAAATTACACATGTCCTTGGGTTCCCCAGGCATTTGCAAATTATTGCTCTAGGGTAATTCTATTTAAAACCTCACCTATACTTAAATGAATTTTGTAGAGGTAAGGAGAAATGTCCCCTTTCTCAGAAAGATCAGCTGAAAAATCGCTGAAAGATCAACTCACAATAAGGCAGAGAAAGAGATTTATTTACTATGCACACCAGGAGAATCACAGAATGATCACCCAACTTCTGAATGGGGTCTAGAAGTTTATATACACTCATTTTAGAGGGGAGGGGTAGATGAGGAAGATACATAATTTGGTTGACTGTCAATAAATGGTTACTACAGAAGATAAATAGATACTTGGAAGAATGAACAAATGGGAGGAACAGACTGACTTGTAAATGGTTCTCTGGAAACTAAATTAACCTGGGAGACAGGTATTGTCTTAAAATGGTTTAGGCCAGGCCTGATTGCATTCTTTTTTTTTTATGTTTCTTTTTTTAATTTAATTGCAAGATATTATGGAGGTACAAATGTTTTTGGTTACATGGATCACTTTTGTAATGCTTGAGTCAGAGCTATAAGTGTGTCCATCACCCAGATAGTGTTCACTGTACCCGTTAGGTAGGTTTTTGCCCATCCTCTCCTCCCCCTCCCCCTTGCTTGATTGCCACTGAATTTCAATTCCCTCTGTGCATGTGTGTGCTCATCAGTTAGTTCCAATTTAATAGTGGGTACATATGGTGTTTGATTTTCCATTCTTACAATACTTCATTCAGGATAATTCCCTCTAAATTGTTGCAAAAGGCATTAATTCATCCTATTTTATGGCTGAGTAGTATTCCATGGTATACATATACCACATTTTGTTAATCTACTCGTGAATTGATGGGCACTTGGGTTGATTCCACATCTTTGCAATTGTGAATTGTGCTGTAATAAACATTCAAGTGTAGGTATCTTTTTGATACAATTACTTCTTTTCCTTTGGGTAGGTACCCAGTAGTGGAATTCCTGTATCAAATTGTAGGTCTGCTTTTAGTTCTTTGAGGAGTTTCCATATTGTTTTCCATAGAGGTTATGCTAATTTGCAATCCCACCAACACTGTATAAGCATTCCTCTCCCTCATCGTCCATGCCAACATTTATTGTTTTTGGACTTTTTAATGCATGCCATTCCTCCCCAACTATCTTTATGAAGATAGGTGGAGTCTTTGGGGTTTTCTAGATATAAGATCATATCATCAGCAAAAAGGGATAGTTTGACTTCCTCTTTCTTCATTTGGATAACCTTAATTTCTTCCCCTTCCCTGATTGCTCTGGCTAGGACTTCCAGCACTATGTTGAATAGATGTGATGACAGTGGGTACCCATATCTTGTTCCAGTTTTTC